CCCCCTTCTTCATCCTTTTCCTTTGTTGCTTTCCAAGCCTGCGGGCTGCACTGCCTTTGCATCTCTAAGCCAGTCTGTGCAAGCTTCTCTCCCGGTTAATTGCTTTGTAAAATACATAATGGAAAGTGGAGATTCTCACCCAAAAGCTGGCAGCAGGGGGTGGCAAGAGGCCTTTTTTTTTTTTTTTAATTGGTAGTTCATTAGGCTGTGAGCAGGGTCTGGTGCTAAACACTTTTGTTTCGTGGTTTTCGTTGTGGTTGGGAAAAAAACTGGATGGATGGATGGATGTTCACATTTGCTGCTATGTTATGGTGGCTGTGGCAATTAAAGCTCTGAGGATGCACAGAGTATAGTCAATATATATCAAGAAGCATCACTTTGAATGATTACTGCTATTTGCAGCTGGTTACTGTTTCCCAAACAAAGCATGGTAGGACCGAGCCCTCACCCCTCCATCTCTCACTTCTACTTCTCACCAGATCTTAGATGTCAGAAGTCATTAAAAAAACAGCCGAAGCAAATGTATGTTGTGGTTGCGAAACCGTGTGTATTCAGTACACAGAGTTATCTGGCCTTCGCGTGTGCTGCTGTGGTATCTGTTGTTACTGCTGTGTCAAAGGCAGGTACCACAAAACCAGCTGGATGCACAAAACCCCAGATTCCCGGGGATTTTGCAGATACTCCCCCTGTTCGGGATCCCACCAGGGCCGTGAATTGAGTCAGCATTCACGAGCCGTCGGCTAATCGGAAGGGGCATCCGTGCCGGAGGATGGACTTTCGCAGAGTCCTTTCCTCCCCAGCCGCCGCCAAAGGATGCCAAGCTGGCTCTTGTGCAATCACGGAGGCAGCATGTTTGCGTGGGGGAGAAGGATGAGCTGCTGGAAAGCAATATAAGGCGCGCGGCGGGGAGCACGAGAGCGACCCGGGGCAGCGGTGGGTGAAGGAGCATAGAGCGGCCTGGCGATGGTAAGTGTGATGAGAGCAAGGGGAGATCTTGACGCTGGTGGGACCGCTCAGGGCTGCTGCAGCGAGCAAGGAGCAGAGCGGGGAATAAACCCTCCTCGCCTGGAGGTCTGGCGGTCACAGCCGCTCGGGGTCGAGCGGAGGGGGTAGGGCAGCGATGTGCTGCCAGACCAGAGTGGGGCAAAGCCCCATTCTCAGTGCACCTGCAGGGCAGAGGGGTGGCAGAGCATCACGCCAGCCACCGGCCCCGGCTGAGTCGTATCCACATCTCTGATAAGGAGACTCCAGTGTCCAGGGCTCA